GCTAACCCGGCCATTAATGAACCTGTAATATTGCCATCTGTGAGCACATCTATTGGTATACACAATCCCCCACGAAGCGATAAACTTGTACAATTGCCACCGGTGAATTTACCGCACTTCGACGGACGCTACGAAGAGTGGCCAAGTTTTGCTGATGGTTTTCAATCAATCGTTGGAAAAAATTCGGAATTACGAGATATACAAAAATTTGCGTATTTAAAGTCATGCGTGTCGGGCGAGGCAGAAGAGAAAATACGGGATTTAGTAATTACCGAGGGCAATTATCAGATAGCATGGGAACTACTAGAGTCATATTACGACAATCCTATTTTATTAATTAATCGACACATAAGGGCAATTCAAGAGTGCCCCAAGATGAGTAGACAATCTCCGGAAACGTTAATTCAGGCCGCGAACACTCTCGTTACCAACTATAAAGCGTTATTATCCACAMAAAAGAATTTTGCTGAGGCATTCCCCATATACATGATCGTTTCCCGAATGGACGAACAGACGCGGTATGAATGGGAGAAGCAGCGYCCCAAACTAGAGTTACCGACCATAGACGAGCTTTCAAGTTTCTTATTTAATGCCGGACGCGCACTTCTTACGTCGCAACCTGCAAAAGAGTCAAGAGATAYGGGAAGGAATAGYATGAACAATCCGCCTAGACCGCTTACACGGTACGGCAATCCGCGAAGCGCAGCACAGCTCAATACACGTTATACAAATTTGCAAAGACCGTCACAGAACGATGCACGCCAAAATCCAGTACAGGTTTATGCGTCACAATTTCAAAGTCAATGCTACGTATGTTCGGGTAGTCATCTAGTATTTGCATGCGATCAATTAATAGGTGCTAACGCCGAGGAGCGAAATAGGATCGTCAAAGAAGCAGGATTATGTATAAATTGTTTGCGACCTGGTCATAGGGCTGAGGATTGCCGTTMTAGTTATTGTARAAAATGTGGGAACAAGCACAACACGTTATTAMATATAGACGAACAAATTTCAGCGGTGCAATGCTCATACGTTAAAATCAATCATGCACCTCTGCCTACATTATTATTAACCGCTGTRGTTTCATTATTAGATCGCGACGGTATTCCACACAAGTGCCGAGTACTCCTAGATTCAGGCGCCGGGGCTAATTTCTTAACGCTCGAGTTTGCCAGCAAGCTACGAATCGCAYAAYAAAGWGTGAACATAYCAATAGCCGGGATAAATAAAATTGAAACTAAYGCCACCAAGGCCCTAGTAACGACCATGCAATCGCAGACRGAAAACTACGCAGTTGAACTAAAGTTCTTACTTCTACCCAGTATAACAAATATTTCACCATCGCAACCAATACCCCCGGAAGAATTAACAATACCTGCAAATATCCGCTTGGCTGATACCGGTTTCGATAAACCTTCGAGAATAGACGCGATTCTCGGCATGCCCATTTTCTGTGCTTTATGGCACGCCGGACAGATTATTCAAATCAATGAATCAATATCTTTGCAAAATTCACGATTAGGTTGGRTCGCAGTAACGACCTCAAATATGCATTTGCCACGAAACGTAAAATGCCATACCGCACTTATAGGATTGCAAGAACAATTAGAAAATTCTTGGCGCGTTGAGCAAACGCCAGAAAGGAAAATCAGATCTCAGGAGGAGGAGTATTGCGAATCGCACTATGAAACTAATACGCGCCGTGATCCATCGGGTAGATATATAGTAAGACTACCACTCAGGGAAAACGCAAATCAATTAGGGGATTCATACGTCAATGCACTAAAGAGATTTCATGTGTTCGAGCGGTCGTTAGCGCGTAAACCGGGGGTACGCGAAGA